AGGAGGCAGATGCGTCCCGACTCCCTGGTGATCTACCGCCAGAAATGTGAGTTTGTGCGAGGTCAGAGCCAGGACAGCCCGCGAGGGAGCCTGGTGCGGAGGTTCTTCCAAGGGCCCCCTAAGGAGAAGCAGTTCGCCTCCGACGAGGCTCCTGGGGCGATCATGGAGGTGGCCAGCAGCGAGGAGAGCCGGGCACCCATCCCTGCGGGCTGCGATGACCACCAGCCCAGTGGCCCTGCCACGGAGCGAACTGTCCCCGCGAGCACTGCCAGTGCCCCGGGCGGGCGCCCACTGGCACGCCGGAGGCCCTCGCGGCTGCCCCCCACTCCCGAGGAGGGGACGCGGAGAGGCCTCCATCGCTCCCAGTCGGACATCAGCTCCCGCTACTCCAAGTCCTTCTCTGAGTTTGACCCCTTTTTCACATACTGTGGCCTGGACCCAGAGGTCATTGAGGACCTCGGCAGGGAGAACTTCTCGGCGGCTTCCGACGGCGTCTCCTTCAAGGTCCGCAGCATCAGCGTGGCAACGTCCGAGAGCGACTTCACCCGGCACAGTGGGGACGAGGGGCTGCTGGAGGATGAGCTCACGGAGCAGGTCCCCAGCAGCACCTCCATCATCGAGCGCAACGCCCGCATCATCAAGTGGCTGTACACCTGCAAGAAAGCCAAGGAGGCCAACGCGGCGCTCCGGGAGCTGGCGTGACGGCACCACTGAACCCCAGGTGTGTGCAAAGGCCTGCCGGCTGCCCCATGTGTGTCCGTGTTCTCCTAGGGAGTACCTGGCTTTTCTTGGTGGATTCCTTGTAGGAGGGACAGCGGGAAGCCATCTTCTTGACACTGCTCATTGCACTGTGGCACTTTTGCAAAGCAGAAATTTGGGGCATGGCAAGAGCCAAAATGCAGACAAGGCAAAGGAGTGCAGCTTGGCAGCTTTCGATCAGACCGTGCCGCGAAACCAGAGTCGGTGTCGGGGAGGGATATCAGCCCCATGCAGAGCCCTGCTTTGTGAAAGCTTGTTCTCCCCAGTTCCTGCTATGCTCAGTGTGAGGAAAGCCTTAGAAAATTGTTTAGTCCTATATTTTGATAGCTTAGATAATACAGCTGAACTGAAACTCTTAATATTTAGGAGTGCACTGTATTTATGCTGCACTGTCAGAACTTCTCTCTTCTTACTCTTGCTGTCACTCCCCTCTTTGCTTATATTCAGGCACACCAAGCTGCACACTGAGGAAAGCAGAGTCAGTGTCACCAGCAACAAATTTACCCCCAAACTTTTGTTTAGGGCCCTGAGAGCTTGTGGCAGCCAGTCACCTAGCATTGCACAGGCTTCAAGTTCTCTGTCCTGTTTGGTTTTAGTGGATCTTGCCCTTCCAAATTGGGAGAAGTTTGTGGCTTTTCCTGTGTGGTTTGGCATTGGTAGCTGGACATCTGTTGTGTGATTTGCCCTGTATAGAGAGATGCTTTACAGATGCTTTACTGCCTTTAACAGAAGGTAACATAAATGTGTTACATCTAGGCTTGGAGATCTTGGAGATCAATTACTCCACATAAATAAACAAGCCAAATTTAGCCCAGGAAAAAGCTGATTTGCTGGTTTCAGTAGAAGGTGTTTGTTCTCTGCATCTGATCTACTGAAAAAGAACTGTATTCTGGTATTCCCAATACACAAATCTCTTTGGATAAATACCATGATTATGATGCGGTATTTAAAAGTTGCATCTTGATAGGAAAGCTTGCAATTATATTTTCTGGCGGTTCATAATCTATGTATTAAAAGAACATCATTTGGCGCAGTTATAGTTGCAGGTAGTGAATTCTAGCCTTATGAACATGTAGAAATACAAGAGTGGAGTCTTTTTCTTACATGGATGTAGAGCTGTCATTCCTGATTCCTTTAATCTATATAATGTCAAATCCATTCACTTGAAATAATTTTAAACTACACAGAACGTGTATCACTAAAAATAAGGATATTTCTCCAGAGGCAATTTTCTCCCTGGGAGTAGAGGCGGGAGGAAGGGAGACAGACACATTTTCACACAAACATTTCAAGCCCTTGGAGATAAGAGCGATTGTCAGGTATCAGGCTGACAGCTTAAAGAAGTGCTGTTATGTGACAAAGACTTTCCCAAATTAAGTTAGGGAGAAGAAAGGGCTCTCCTGAGCTGATCATTTCTTCCCGCTCATCCTTCTGTGATAAAAGGAAAGGGAGATGCACAAACAAGACGATGGAGGTGGTGGTTTGTGAAGCTTTCCGCAGCGGTCTGCCCGACAAAACGCTGCGCGTGGACAGCAGCTGCCTTTCCTCTGTCACGAGCAGGGGTCTGGTGACAAAAACAGCCCTACTTTTGTGTACATTAAAAAAAAAAAAGGATATGTCTTTCGTTGCCCATTGGGGAAGCAGGAAAACTGCTCTCCCCATGGGGCTGCAACCAAGCTGGAGGAGTTTGTGGTTGTCACTGCTGTTTTAGGACAGTCAACATTCTGGCTCAATCAAAATTCTCTTCTGCCAGTCAGTGTCATTTTGGAGGTGAAAGTTTAAGACAAAAGGGCAGTTAAGCACATAGCCTAACAGGGTGGTAAAAATACTTCCATGAAGTAAGTATCAGTTGTATTCAAATGCCAGGTACAGTCATCCTGCATTAATTTTAACATCTAGAAATACGTATTTTAGAGTTGCTTTTCCCTTAGCTATTCTATGACTCTAGAAATAGTTCAATCTACCATTTAAACTGAAATTATAGTCACATGAGAACATGAGACAGTGCTTTACACTGGCAGCAATGTTCTATGGTACCATTATTTTTGGCAGTGTAGGAAACACTAATCCTTAAAGTTCATATTATATACCTAATTTTAAACATCCCAGGGCTGACTTTCAGCAGATATATCTCAGTAATAGAGCTATCATTATTTCCAGCTTAATTTCTGAAAACTGAGAAAGTACATCCCTGTTAGGCCACAGAAGCAGAAAATTCAGCTAAAAATACTAGTCCCCAGAATGTAGGGCAAGAGTCATCACGTGTTACCATTAGTTAAATATTACTGTTACGGTGTAGAATTTAAGCTGAGAGTGATAATCACCCCACAGTCTCCATATGGGTTGTGCAGTTCTGATATTTGCATTTCTTGTACACCCAAGTGCTATTTTCTGCTTTCGGTGTTGCATATTCTCTAACAATTGAACCAAGTTTGATATCTAAATGGTTTTATTATATTCACATATTTGGCTTTATCTAGTTTGCTAACTTGTTACTAATTGGCAATGAACTTATGTATGCTAAGAGACTAGTTTGAGGAAATCTACTGCATGTGAGGCAACTTAGTGTCTTTGAAGCTCTTGGGCCATAGTCTTTAAGGCACCTAATTTTGCACAGAGGCTTGGAAAATCCTGCACTTTTTTTTGTTTTAAAAAAAAGCAAAGAGCTGTTTTTTAAAATCCAACATTCATTACGTGTAAAACACCTTCTCAAAACTGGAGGGTTTTTATGGGCCAGTGATCGTTCTATTAATACTTTATGCTCTAAGCTTAAATTTTTATGAATTCTTCTGCGCCTGGTGGGGCACTACGTAAATAAAACAGCTACTTGAAGCATCAAGTTCCCTAACAAACACATTTGTTTCAACAGAGCAATTACTGCAAAGTCTAAGCGTGGGTTGTGAGCTTCAAAAAACAAAGTCCTAAGTGAGATGGCTATTACTGTTTCCCTGCATGATGTTTCCTAAATTCACCTCTGGAGTTCAAGCTGATTGGCTCCTCTCCCTGTTAATCCTGTTTGGCTCTAAGAGGCCACTGTACATCCTTTTTCCTTATTTGAATCAAGATTATTCAGTCATGAGTTTCAAAACCATTCAATTGTTCATTATTCAAGTGGGAATCTCATGGGAAGGGAATTGATTCTGTTGGCAATAACCATAAGCAGCTGAATAAAAGTTTAAGAATATCACCGTATGCCTCTCTGATGTAATAAATAATAAATGATGCTTTTTCTTTCTTTCCTTAGACTCCTTGACTTGGAAGATGAACAGGACCAGACACAGGAAGAAACCCTTCCCTCTTCTGGCTCATGACTACTTTGTCCAAGTTCAGCATTTTCTTACTGCCTCCTTTCCTCTTCCCTGTCCCCAGGCAGCATTACTCCTTGCCACAAGCACAGGGGTACTCAAGAGCACAACAACAAGCAGAAGTTGGGAACTGTGCCACAGTGCGACAGCAGGAAATGAGAGAAAGTTCCTGGAAAAGCAAAGCATGGCTGCAACAACAGTGACATTCAGCAGCAGATCACCACATCCAGGATTTTGGATGTGCTGTGGGGATGCAGCAGGTTTGCGTTGTGCGCACGTCTCCTTCCATCCATGCATTTGTCAGCAGAGATGGGAGGAGAAAGTGGGAATGAGGTGGCAATGACCCCTGGGCCAGGCGTTCCCTTGCAGGAGACAGGCTCCACCGTTCAAAGGCACTGTCTTTCCAGGGCTGTTTAAACACTGCTCAGCCTGATATCATTAAATGCTATTTGCCTGGCTGGTGAGGGCTAATGTGGCAGTTTTATCTGGATACTTGGCAAACATGCTGTAAGCTAAATCCCTGCAAGCCTCTTTTCTCTAAAAGTGCCCAAGCCGAATTAGAGTACCTTGGATCCATCTAGTCTGCTCAGTCACACAGCTCTCTCAGCCAGTGGGAAGGCACAGCATTAAAATCTCTGCTCAAAATTTGTTCAGGAAAGAAACACAGTTCCAATAAACACCTAGTTCAAAATTAGAGAGGATTTTGTATGGATAATACATTGCTCCAGAATAGTAGAATTTACGTTTATGCAGACTCCTTGGCTTGGTTTGCATCGTGTCTCTGTGACAGAGTGCCAGAGTGAGTTTCATTTCAGCATTTGGAAGCCTGTGATTTAACACATTTAAGTTTTTGCAGCTCAAGTAATGGGTTTACAGAATCTATTAGTTAATTGCATCCCAGACAATGTAAGGTTGCACTTCCCTGGCATGGGTTTGGAGTAGCACTGTGCTCTCTGCACTGCAAGCAAGAAGGCATGCAAAACTGTGCCAGGAAAAAAAAAAGTCTGGGTGGGGTAAGATCCCAAGTATAGACAGCAACTTACTCATGCTCAATATAATCAATAAAATAGTAATACTTCATTGGAAATGGACAACCTAAAAGTGCTTTGGATCATCAGCGCAGTGAATGGATCCTTTGCAAATTACTTGCAGAATTTGCTGGCTATGCCTCAGATATTTACCCCATCAGCCATTGCTTACTAAAAACTGCTTTACACCAAAGTATTTATTTGCAAATATTACTACAAACCACAAGAAGAAATCGATTAGAAAGTCAATCTGCGGTAGCTGCCCTGAAGTCAACGGAGTGACGACAACTAGAATTTAGAGTGCTGCAGAGGTGAAAAGTTTACTTTGTGTTACCATGGATATAGTGTCCTGTTTGCAGTGCTGGACTTTACCTGGCTGTCAGACCTGTACTGTAACGAGTCCAGAAAAATGAGATTTCATTCTCCACATTCCACTAGGGCTCTACACAGCCAGCACTAAGCTAATAGTGCTTGCCATGGTCTGACCCAAAGCAGCTGCCACATCAGGGTGGAAGCAGAGATAAAATAAGCACTAGAGATGCATTTTTAAGTGTTCATTATTCTTGATAAATAAGCCTGTGAAAGTGAGAAGGGCAGAAGTGAACCATAA